TTAAGTGGACTCTGAAAGGAGTTTGATATCAGCTAACCTATAATTTCTGCCAGAAAACATTTGCCTTTAACTTTTCAAATGATACTGGTGAGTTTTCCACAAAAATATTATTGAGTAATTTTGTGATCTACTCTGCTCCAATATTTGCAGAGCTGTTTGCTGTCTTTGTCATTTTTTCATTTGATGTGAACACGTGGCCATCAGGTTGACCTTTGGTGACTTTTCCATTAGATATAGTAAACATGATGGAGTTTTGAACAAACATTTTAAGTGGGAACTAACTTTACAAGATATCAGCTGAGTCAACCATAGCCTATTATCAGGGGAAATTAGAAGGTGATCCACGAAAACAGCCACGCGGTAATGACCGATAACGTCAAACTTGGGTTTAGATAAAACACATTGATTTCAAAGAAGTGCAGCTGTCATTTTCTCAAGGTATTCTTCATAAAATTGGTAAAGAGGTCATGAGTTCGAACCATTCTAAAGAAGTTCACAAGGAAAACCACAACCCGATATGTTGTCACCAAGTTCCTCTGCAGTGATACTTTGCCTCTTTGCTGTTATTTTTCCAGTAAGTTTCTTTCATTTCCATTCTCCTCAACTGGATTCAGACAACAAGTATTTTTCTCACGTTCCATATTTATTTCATCTTTCCATTTCGTAAACGTAATCGCAGAGCAGCGGAAGTGGCATGAATGTAGGCTTTAGTAACTTAAGAAAGTTAAGCTAAATCTCTGACCGCACTTAATCCACTGAAGGGAAGCTTTTCAAGCATTTCTGATCTGTGACAAAGCATGAAAATTTTAGAATTATGATGCTACTGAAGGTAATTTACTTTGCTCAGGTAATCTCTAGAGCACAGCCTTCGTGAGGATAGTCACTCGGCTTACGCGCTTAAAGTTTCGTTTAAATTTTGTTGGTCTTTTAGGTCAGGGGTGATCATCATATAGACGAACATTCAGTGGAGTGTAAGGTGGGAAATTCTGATATGTAAATCTTTCTGTTATCCAAAGAAATCTCTCTTTATCACCATCCCCTTTCAATTAGAGGTCTCAACGATTGGTAATTATCCGCACGAATTGGAAGACCTCCCTCTAAATTAGCTGAGAGAATCTCTTATTGTATCAAGTTTGCTTTGATCGCCTGTAGAATGGTGTTTTGCTACAGTGAGAAGAGGTTACACGTTAATGAACTTAGGGAATGAAGGATTTTTTAGAGCTAGACTGAGTTCTTTTTTTCGCATTTACGCAAGTTATCACAGGTTTGAAACTGTTAAAATGATAAAGTAAAAAAGGATTAAATCTTGACAGAATAAACACACCAGAATTTGGGTTGTTAATTTGTAATAGTCTCCCTGGATTAAATAATAAATACCTAAACTGAGGTATACACTGTACCTGCATAAAGGTGGACGTCAAAGAGCCAAATTTAAGTTTTTAGTTCACTTCCGGTTGAAAGATAGATATCTTGTATCTTGTCACGGGAGAAGCGAGAAGCGAGAGCTTCTGATTCCGCCATCCTTGGATGTACCTCTGAACTACAGAGGCTCCACGGTGAGCCAGGCTACTGAGCACGAAGTTTAAATGTGACAGGTGCCTGCATATTTCTAATATCAGCAATTTCGCGATCGAAAGCGTCAAGTTCTTAAAGGTGATAAGAAAGCTCGGCTTTGAAATTATTCCATTCAATTTCTGTCCATTACCAGGGAAATCACTGTCCCAAGCCGATGCCTGATGTTTATCAGAAACCATTTCGCCCTAAGTCGTGCGTTGATTACTATGTACCAGGCAAATCGACATGTGGCATTTACCGGCTTTTCGACGAGCATGGCAACAGTTATCCCGCCTACTGCGACTTCAAGTCTGAGCCAGGTACAGCATGGACCCTGGTGATGTCCTGGGCTAACATCAATCGTGGGCTTCCTGAGTTCAGACAAACTCCTTTCAAGTACGACGCTCCAATCAACGAGAATTCTCATAACTGGTATATGTACCGCCAGAGTCTGAAGCGAATAAGGTCCCTTGCAGCCCACTCAACTCACTGGCGAGCAACCTGCAACTACCCAAGCCATGGTGTCGATTTCACAGACTACGTCCGTGGTAACTTTAAGGACTTCGACATTGTTAACTTCCTTGGGTCTGGAGTGTGCAAGAAGGTGGAACACGTGAATATCCGGGGACATATTGGCACTCATCTTACAGCACGCTTCTGGCAGGTTAACGACACTTTCACCTTGCATATCGACAGCGGTAGTGGCGGCTGCGATTTTGACCCAAGGGCTGGCTCGGTGTCGTCTGAAGACAACTTTGGGTTCTATTTAGTTATCAACCCTAAGTTCCGTTGCACCAAGAGAAAGTTCTCCACCACACAATGGTGGTTCGGAGCTCATCTCTAGCCCATCCTACTAAAGGCTCTTGCAGAAACGGATAAGCCATTGGCTTCATCATCTTATCGTTGTGATCCTGTAGCTCTGATTTAGAAAATAGTATTGACAGATGTTAATAAGTAGATGCTTTAAAAAATTAAACAGATTAAAAACAATAAACTGTTTTGCAAGATTCAAAAATTATTTTACAGCGTAGAAGGCAGTTTACTAAATAGCATCTGCAAATCGCTCCGTGATTCTGTTTATTAATCCAAACATCACAATTAAAAAAACCAAACAATCATGGCACATCAATGTAGCCTCACAATGGATTTTATCACAAAGCAGTTAATAAAACTGCTCTGAAAGCAAAACGATGGTAACAAACTTTTCATGTTATCTTGAAACAATTTATAATAAGAACCTTTTGTAGAGTTAATAAATTGAAGAAAGAAAATAGTTTTGATTGCCAAACTACAACCTTATGGTCAGTATATGCGTGAAAATCGTCCGACTGAAAAAAGGAAAGCTGATTTTTGATCGCTTCATATATATACAATGGGAGTTGAGGAAAATTATCTGATCGAACTAACCTAAGTACCAGATGGCACAATGAAGAAAGATGATATATTAAGGGCCTGTTTACATGGAGGTGGGAGACCCCAGGTAAGTGAGGTAACCCGCCTAACCATGGTCGTAAAAATAGCTCGCGTTTACATACAATCTTACAATCCTGGGATCCCGAGGTGAAATTTTTTAAGATTGTTGTCGCACTTGAAATTGTAAAATTATCGATAATAACCAGTTAGGTGGGTTACCCCACGTTGAGACGTTTACATGGCAAATTGTGATCCCGGCTGGCAGGGGTACCCCACCCATCAGACCGAGCAACCTACCTAGGCAGGTTACCCCACCTTAAGACGTATACAATTATTGACAGTGCTACCCTACCCGGCCGACCGGGTAACCTGTCCACGCGGGTCACCCCATCTATCATGTAATCGAGATCAAGAAAAGATAAAAGATTATACGGGTAGGCGGGTTGCTTGGTTCGTTCTCCTTTTTTTCTGGTTAGCGTTTTACCTCAGTTTTCATCTTCACAATCAGAGGAATTCCTTTATCCGTGGCTCAACACTTCATTAAACTTCTCTAAACGACTTAACTAGGTAAATAAATGATACGTGTAGGTGGGTGGCTCTATGCCACTAAATTGCCAAGTTGAACGTATCAATTTTTTTTGCTTTTTGTTGAAATCGTGTATTGAAAATAGAATTTTGCACGCGATTTATACCTTTCATTTATCGAATTACGTAATCGAATCTTGACTTCACAGATTCCCTCTCTTTTCTCAATTGTCTCCCTGGAAAGCCGGGCACACTTGTTCTTTATGTATCGAAAGGGCTGGCCTAGGGTTCCTTTGTTTTCTCTAAAGAGAAGACACACAGAAAACAACTCTTCGCCTGTGTTCATGAAACTGCTTTGAGCTAACCTTCTCAGTTAGCGGATCATGCATCAGTATAACGATGAAACCGAAGGACTCATATTCTCGATCATTTATTGTGCATGGAGTAAAATACTAATTTTACAAATTGAATATTGAATCCAAAGTGATACATCGCCTTTTACCCGCCATGTAAGTTTGCATGTTTATGAAATTGCTCAGAAATTTTTGCGTAGGTATTCGGACCTATGCTAATAGTATGCATTAAACTTAAACCTTCACCATTGTTTGGAATTGGAATTAATGAAGGTGCTGTCAGCCAATCGCTGCGAGTTTGGCATGGCTATCACCAGAAGAGAACTGAGTATTTTCTACAGGAACAGTTAAGGGTCTCAATGGGATGATGGCTTTAACGGCTAACTGTTCATTTCTTTTCGTTGCAGTTAAAAGAAATATTTTTACGCTTAACTTTTTTACGACTACCGGTTAAAAGTTTGTCAACTTTAACGCATAACAGCTAATTTTTTTCTTTTGCCTTTTTACGGCTAACGGTTAATCCTGCAGTAGGATTTTTGCCATTTAAGCCACAAGGACGCCAAACTTTTTAGTCTTGAATCTCAACCTCTCGGACGCAAAACTTGATAGAAACTTCACATAAAGAAGATGATTTCTTTTCCTTTTGGATCTCAATCTTTATTGAAGAGTTTTCAAATGGTTACATCGTTTTTGCTAAATCTAGTTCATGATCAACTGATTACATGAGTGTTGAGATCCTTGTCTTGTGTCGTCTA